TAGGCCATTCATAAGTTTAATGAGTCACATACCTACAAATTAAGTAACAGCATCCGTAGAAGCTCCTTCTTTGAACGAACATTGGTCAGGCACAGAGTGGTTCGAGGAACAATTTTTCTCTGAGATGGAAGATACGAAAATTTCTATGTATTCACTGGTGTTGGTGGAAAGACCTTTGTCGCAATTCGTTTAACTGATGGACCTCTGGAACTCATAAGGGACTTTCCATACATGAAGAAGCAACAGTACTTGAAAGTCATACTGCGGTCTGTACATCAAAGAATAAAAGCGAAATCGCAGAAACATACGTCTTTGCATCAGCAGCAGGAACCAATAACTTCAGCAATCGTTGAAAGACAATAACACTTAATCAAAGCTGCCAAGTTTTACACGTTGAAGACAGCAGTCTCCATCTTCCATCATAAGAACATTAACTCCACTATATTTTAGCAAAAATATGAATGTCTTGGAAGCAGCAGACTCTCTGCCAGTGCAAAGCAAAATTTGCGTATAAAATTCAACCACATCTTGATTCAAGCCGCACTGTATCCATACAGTTTTGAAACTCAAATTTCACATATTTGTTGTTTAATTAAACGGACCCCAAGGGCACCTAGAAGCATGGAAACAGTGTGACATACTCTGTGAAAATTTGGCAGAATGTTTTTCTTACCGTATCGTATCCAAAACTACTCTCTTAAAAAATACTGTGTTGTCTTCAATATCAATCGTAAATTTCCGAGTTACATTGAACTCATTAGAAGGAACAAAAGATTGACTGCTACATCTCGAGTTTAAATGACAGAGTTTCGTTTCACAGCTCCATTATTTTACATGTTCATGACCTCGTAATTGCTTCCCATATATTGGCCATGCTGTTTTTCCTTATTTTTGACTGTTTTTGTGTATAAAAAAAAGTTGTTTAATTACAAAGTGTCCATTCACTAAACATCACGTCACATAATGCAGTTAATTGCTTGTAGTTCATCTTAATTTGTGGCTTCTGAGCAACATTCCAAGTCTTACGTGGGAGCAGATCTGCATCGACGGGACAGGCGTTAAAAGTGGTTCCTTGTTAACTTCTTTCAATTCTTCATCGTGATTTTCTACAAATTTTGGCAGAGTTCTTTTAAGATTCTTTGAGGCTGATTTTTCTCTTCGATTTTCTTCTTTATGACTGTGACGCCTTTTGGAACTGGCATCTGGCGCCGACTTCTTTAAACTTGACCGGCTTCTTTTAGATCTTTCACGCTTCACCGCCTTCGCTGCCATAACGGGTTGCCAGTTTGCCTTTGGTTTTCTCACACACTCCCAAAGTGGAACCGCGTGTTGCAACAAGTCCGCGTGTAACTTAGCTACGGCTAATTCTTTACTCTTTGCTTCTACCTCCAAGGTGAATTTTGTCTTCCAATGCTTCCAGAAGCTGGGAAAATCGCTGTAAACGATCATCCTATCATGTGTCCGTGGATTAGCAGAGTTCCAGCCGCCCAGTGGACTGGATATATGGAATAGTGGCTGACGACCTTTCCAAGTTGCTGCAGCTTTGATGCTGATTTCTTGAATCGTTTGGTTGGCTAGTCGGCCATCGGTACACCTTAAACATCGCCGTATTATTACTGGAGTACTACGTGCTGAAACGTAAAACAGATCCTCAGTTACAACTAGAGATAGACTTGGTAACTTTAAGATTGTAGCCCAACCGCGGAATATGGAAAAAATATAGTGATATAAACATCTTCCTTGCGGGTACCGTATCTTTTTCACTCGGACGTCATTCTCATAAGTTCTCTGGCATCTGCTTCAGAAAATATGCCGACGTTACGTATGATCGATAGGCATCGTTGTATCTCATCACATCGAAATGATACATAACAAGCAATTTAATGCGCGTAGAAATTGTTGCAATTGACCTTCGATATCTCAAAATCTTTATCCTCCACTTGATCTTCCACGTTCACTCATGAAATCAAAAAGTTTGGTACTCGTCAAAATATATCGCTTCATGGTCTGTGTAGCTTTGAACTGGCGGTAAAGGAGTAAACTACTAAAAACTGACGAAAGTGAACCCTTCGACAATATTTACTAATTCTGGAGCAATCAGTCTATAAAAACTAAATTTGTAAAGCTATGATTCACCGTGCACTTTACCTGTGATGATGAACGTCATAAACGAATGGGATATGCAGGCATTCACATAACTGCAGTACTTCTTTAGGTCCGTAACTCTTGTCATCATTCTCCAAAGTCAGTCTCGTCTTCACCTCCTGCGATAATCGTGGAAAATTTCGCACGAAATTTTCCATTGCGGTCTTCTTGTCACCATAAACGCCGCCGACGTGGATGTTGATCACATCCACCCCAACCAGCTGTGCTCTGAAACAAAATCCGACATGTTATAACTAAAAAAATACATACCGTGCGCCGATATCAGTGTGTAGCTAAAATATCAGCAGGCATCTTTCACTTCTAAGGCTAGTTGGTTCAATAATGAGGGAAACATTCACAAGAGAAAAGACAAACATGTAGCTACGCAACAAGTGAAAAAGCAGCAGCGACGATTATTTGATCTGGCGGGTCAGAAGAAGGCTGAATTTAAATTGGACCATAATGACTGTAAGCTACATGCTGAGATGGTTTACAGGCGAATTACAGGGCGTTGCTCAGTTGGTGCAAAGCATCAGACTCAGAACTGAAAAGACTGAAGTTTCAGCGCCTGTCGAGAAACTCGCTTTTTATCATTCTGAGGTAGATTAACGAGTATCGCTCTATGGGAAGGAAACAGAAGGGCATACACAGTGTGTCATGTAACTGCTATCGACTATTTTAAATGCCTTTAAAATATGGCATCCCTGTATGATTAAATGAAAATAGATATCAGTGCCCTATCATTAACTTCATGAAAAAAGCGCCATAAATTGCTCAGCATGAAAGCATAAGGATGATCGACATTTGTAAGAATGAAAATATCGACCATTTATTCGAGTAGATAATTGATCTTTTCATGGAACAACCATCATGATCAAACCGACAAGAAAACTGGAAGATCATCATTTACTTAGAGTACATACGACAACTTACATTGTTGCTAACTTTACTGTTCAGTGCGCTTGCCTTGAAGAGCTATATGTTCCTTAATATAAAAAATCTCATCTTACTTTTCAGTGAACAGTGCATACGATGCCGTCGTCTGTTCAAAGGTTTAACGATATTACATACATACAATCCAATCGGATGATGCCTAGTCTTGAAGCAGCTATATGCATAATCGAACATATTCCGGCGTACAAACATATTTTAATGTTTCTCGGTAGGAGCACTAGCTCCTGAAACATCGTTCGTAAATATTAAAAGTTACCTAATGAACGAAACGATGCGAGATGCATCTGGCAATACATGTGCTCAAATATTAAATATGGAACTGTGGCTTGCCAAGATGGTCCCTACGCAATTAGTACCGCAAAGGGGCGGTGCAATACGTCCCGAAATCTAATCCTCAAGTAATTAAACATTACGTGGCGTGAAAGATGATCATTTCTCTCCAACGCCTGATTCACTTATCTAAGATTATGTGAATCGTCCATGTGACCTAACCTAAGGAAGCTTACCGACAAGTTCGGAGGGTAAATGGAACGATTATCAGATTTGCCATGCTTTCTTTGAAGACTGATAAAAATTTGATTCCTAGTCTTTCTTCTGAAGAGTACTGTAGTAAGAAGAGCTAACATCCTCGATCAGTGGCAGGTCTAGAAGCTCTAAAAAAGTTTAAAACAGCTATATAAATTCCTGTAAAGCGTCAGAACACAACAGGCGATCGCAACGAATTTCCACGACCAACAGCATCGCATTAGCAGACACTTTTGTACGAGTTATACAAAGCTGTGGACCGGAAATATCCATTACCCCTAAGCCTCTTTAAATACATTAGAAGGTCCAGGAAATTACGGGATGACAGCAACAGAAGTCATCCCAACGAAGTCTATGTGATATGGCAAATAAAAGAGACGGAAACAATGATGATCACTTAAGAAATATTGGACTGGTTCGTTCCCACCGCACATCACGCGCGTTAACAACTGCTGCTACAACCATAAGTCAAGTGATTTTGACTGATGAGGGTTGGTAGATCGATTCGAAATCTGACCAGTTGTACGACGTCTTCTGCATTGCGTTTACAAATGAAAGTTCTCGATATATTATCCATAGCAATAAGTTTCTTTTAATTTTCATGTAGTTACACTACCTTTTCAGAGAGACCGACTTTTATCGCTCATCTTATAACTATGACTTGATAAAGTCAACAGAACCTTTCCGATTCATGAAAAGCATAGAGGCTAATGCAACCAACAAGGACGATACACCTCACCAAACGTTTTCCTGATATACCTGTCTCTTGCTCTGAACGTAGGCTAAAGCTGGCTTCTCAGAAAACAGTTGTACGTTGTACGGTCAGCACAGAGTAAAACTCGCAGTGCAAAAAAAACCAGCTGGCGAAATGTAGCGAAAATACGTACATGACCGCATGGTACTCGAGTTCGCAGATCGAGTTATTGACGACGCTCTCTGAAGGCGAGTTCAACACGACGAACTGGTCAGGGTGCATAGACAGACGGATGTCGTACTT